GTTAACTCTTAGAAGAGTTTACATCCTTGTTCAGTTTAAGGCTTCAGGAGCAGACAGGTGAAATTGTTTCTTTTCTTTCCTCCCTTCCTCCCTCCATCTCTCTTTCTTCTTCCCTTTTTAATCTCAGAAATCCTAAGAGAGAAAGTTAGAATGGTAGTTATGAGTCAATTCTAAAGTAACAGTTTTTGAGTTTACAGCTCTGTTTGGTTTTTGTTTTGTTTTGATATCTGAATACTCCCCTGAGTGGAATCATGGGCGATATTGGCTTACTTGGCTTTGTTGTGGAAGCCGTGGGCTCCAGAACTGGGTGGGAAGGTCGGCAGGGCGTGTGTGTGTGTGTGTGTGTGTGTGTGTGTGTGTTGGGGGGTAGAGGGAGGGAGTGTGTGTGTGTGTGTGTGTGTGTGTGTGTAGGGCTCTAAGGTGAAGATTATATGTGAAGTGAGGTCAGGAAAGGCTGCATGCTGGAGCGTGCCAACTCTGCCCCCTGCCCCCAAGAGGGCCCCACAGATTGCTTAGCATCAAGTTCATTGGGTACACTGGACTTCCTGAAAGGTTTTCAAGGAGGAACTTGACAAAGTTCACGGAGGAGAGTAAAAGGTATTATGTCTGTCCAGCTCCTTCCCATTCTCGGTTGCCTACAGCTCACCTGACCTGGAGTGGGTGCCCTGCACTTCAGGAAAAGTGTTCCCATGTCAGTTCTGTCTAAGGCTGACAGTGGAGGATAGCCTGGCTTTGCAGGCTCTGACTGAGCAGGTGAAGAGCAGACACTCAGGAAATGCTTAAGAAGGAACATAATGTTTGTGTCATGATTCGATGTGGTTCAGGCATTGTGATGGTTCATGCAGGTGGTGGTGAGTGTCAGAGTGAACAGAGGAGACCTGTAGTAGACAGAGGATCACAAGATCCTCCACTGGGGAGCTGAGAGGCCCAGCATTGTGCTTCCCTGGAGCTGCAGTCCTGGGTTGGTGGAAGAACTTGCCCTTCATGGGGAGACTCGGATTGATTCCCGTCCAGTGCACCGCATGTGTAGTCACCACCCATCTGCCGGTGGAGGCTTCTCTGTTGCTCTGCTGCTGAGCACTTTTCAGGAGAGCTTTCAGGCTAGAGTAGACCAGGAGGAAATGTCTAGTGATCCACTTCTGGAAATCAGCCACTCAAAGCCCCAGGGCCCAATGCCCAGCCCTTGAGAGGATGATTCTAGGCCCAGCAGCATTGTGCTCCCTATAGAGTTGTCCCTGAGTCAGGAGCCAGCTTGATGACAACTGAGACATCAGGATCGTGCAGGGCTCTTGTGACTGCTGGTGCTCAAGTCTATACTTTGTGGCCTTGTGTTTCTTTGAAAAAAAAAGGATTTATGGCTTACCATTAGTAGAATAATAGGCCAATTCCTGTATGTGGAGGGAGGTACAAATTTTAAAATGTGTGAAGGTCAAAATAAAGGCTGGATCCTAAGCATGCTTGCTAGAATAATTTTCTGTTGCAAGAGGTAGGAGCCCAGCATTGCTAGTTAAGCCAGAGCAGAGACTGGTCAGGATTCCCAGAATGCAGGGAAGGACGAGATGCTCGTGGGCTCAGATGTCTCTGGAACCATGGACACTCAATGTTTTCAGTGGGGAACCTGACCTCCACTTGGCAGGGCCCGAACTCGCTGCAGCACAGGGCTGATAGCTGAGCGCCCATTCATTCAGCACGCCCAGGGTGATTTTTGCACCGGGTCTGCAGCAAAGGGCTGACTGCTGAGTGTCTCTTCATTTAGCACATCCAGGATTGAACTCTGCACAGGCCAGCACCTACGTGCCCATCACAGCACAAAAGACCATGAGCAGAGAGGTGCTGAATTAGGAAATCATTTTTAACATGTTGCCACACACTTTTAAATTGACGAAACATATTAGAAACATTTTGCCATCATTTGCAGCAACGTATTAAATGATGATAAGCAGTTAACAGGTTGATTTGTGGATGAAGCCAGTGTCCAGGAGAAGGGCTGTGCATGTCTGGAGTGGGGAGCAAGGATGCTAGTGGGGAGATGCACACTGACCGTCACAGCCAACAGCTCTGAACGTAGTCACTGGCCGGCAGACACACCTGTGCTGCATTCACCCAGCCAGATGAGAAGGTGGAGAGAGAGTAGCTGACACCCCCCCTCAGTTCTGCCCTCTCCTCTCCACTCTGCATGCAGACTCTCATGTGTTGCTGTAGATTGAATTGTTTTCCTGAAGAGCTCTGTTCTAGATCCAACTACCCCACCACCAGTTCTGCAGATGTTCCTGCCTCTAGCTATGGCCATACCCACTGAGCACTGCTTGGGAGTCTAACATGAGCTGCACTCCATTTCCTAAGCACCTTTCTCCCCCCATAAATGAGTTTCAGTACATTTCAGTTTTAATCAGTTTGATTAGATTTTTAAATGAAGAATTTAAATTGAGCCAGAGACAGAAAGCCTGATAGGGCTGCAGGTGTCTGCTAAGACAGTGGAGAGGTGTTCTGCGGCCTGCACTGGTGGCCTGCTGTGAGTGCTGGTGGTGCAAGGGCCCTTTGACCACCTCCTGGGAGATTTGTAGGTGCTGGGGATGTGGTTCTTAGCGAGCTGTGCTGTTAGCCTAAAGGCTGCTCAGCTCTGGTTGTTCGAACCCACCAGTGTCTCTGAGGGAGAATGTCAAGAAATCCAGGAAGGGTTGTGGATGGGATGGAAACCCGATACACCAGAGCCCTCTCTTTCCCACTTCTCCCCTTTCCTTTTCTCCCTGTTTTCTTTCTCTTTTCCCCACTTCCATCTCCTGTTCTGGGCACTGTCTCTCTCTTGGTCCCTCTTACAGATAACAAGTCTCTGTTTCACTTCCCCTCTGTTGCCTTCTTTAATCTCTTACCTGGTTCTCATCCCATCCCCACCACAGTGACACAATGATGACTGGCTTCCTCAGCACTTTGGTCATTTTGCCCCAGAACTTTCCAAACACCAGCTTTGCTCCAAAGCCCACAGCCCCTCCCCCCACACCCAGCAATGATCTTTTTGTGCATAGACTCCGAGTTCTCAAAGAGGATTTGATGGGCTCAGCTCCTCCTCCTGAGGCCAGGCACCCAATCACAGCTGGTCACAGGACCCCTCCCATCATATGCATCCCTGGCAGAGGTGGTACAAAGCCCCTTTTCCTATTTCCCAGGGGCTGTGAGTGGCATTCGATCCCCTGAGGAGAGGTAACAGGGCAGGACTTCCCAATGGCATCCAGAACAGACACTAGATCACAAGCTTAGAAAAAAGGCAAATCCAGGGATTTCCATCCAGCCAGTTCTAACCCCAGGTGACCCCACGTGGTGTAGCCTGGGCTGGGTCCATACAGGACAGACAGCGGCCCCTTCCCTCTGATGGTGGGTTCAAGCCGCTCTTTATGCCGCTCAGAACTGTGCAAGTGAATCCACCTATTGTTGCTTGTAAGTCCTGGTGAGTCAGTTTTGGCTCTGTACAACAAGGTAGAATTGCCCCTTATGGTTTTTCTAGGCCATATTTTCACAGGACTAGAGCATCTGGTAGGTAAATCTAAATTTGGCCCAAGCTACAAATGGAAGTCACGGTTTTTAGACTCCATATAGTCACCTCTGCACTAACTCAAGGGTACACATCTCCGCAGTAATGAATTTCACATCTTCCAGTCACACGAAACATGGCATGAAATTAAACTTTCAGCCCAGGTGTTCATTTTATTCATACACCAGGGTGCAGAGATGGATTTTACTTGGTTCTGAACAAAAGCATGCTGACAGGGAACAAGGGTGATGGGGTTTTTCCAGTCAGGAGGACTTTGTGTAAGTAGTTTTGAAGTAACGGTTTTCCTGTCCCGTTTGGGGGCCATCTGGAACATTCTCCACAGGGCAGAGTGAGCTGCCAGGGCCTGTCTGTGACCTGTGCTCCTGACACTCAGGCAGCTGGAGAATCACAGGAGAGGCATTTACACCCTCATAAAAGTGGGGTAGTCCTTCTCTGTGTAACCCCCTGCCCTCCTCCACACTGCCATTTATCCAGCCCTTGTACCCCTATGGTCTTATGTCACAAAACCAGCTGTTACTAGATTTGCCCAGAGTGTCTGGAAACAGGCTTAGAATGAGAAAACCGCGTCCCACTTTTATACAACTGGAAAACATTACTCAACTTGAATCTTTCAAACTTAGGGCAGGGCGGAAGGAGAAGCACACTCAATTCCGCTTGTATGGCTGTGTCACTAAGAAGTATAATGTGCTTCAGGAGGATGAGTGGGTTTGCTTCCACCCCATAGGTAGTTTTGATCCAGAAAACGTGCCCTGAAAATCCAGGGTCTGCAAATCCAGGAAAAGGGGGAGGGTTTGGTCTTTAATCAAAGTGGAATGACTCTTGATGGTTTCTGTGCTAATCAGATTTAACGTTTAATCTTTTCTCACTTTTGTCTACCTGGCTAGGCTCATTATCTTTCCAGCTGCCAAATCAATCAATACATATTGTGAGACATTCTCATCTCCCTGTGATCTGAATTAGGTGGGATTGAGTTCTGACAACGTGAGTTAATCATCACTAGAAATATTGGCAAGAGCTGGGGATGTTTGTACTCTTCGGGGATAGTTTAGTATCTCCGAATAAATATTCTAGTCCAACCGCCTGCCTTCTCTGGGTTTTCCTTTCCCAAACTTCCTCCCCCATAAGGAAGATGAGCCAAAAGCAACATGTTTGGTTCCTGATAATTACAAACCAGGGATGATACTTCAAAACAGTCAGCTTTAAGCTGTCACTGGTATCAGTGATGTGTTGCTATGCGGTGTATTTCTTCCTGCAAGCTTGTAGGCCAGCAATATGACTGTCTGTGCCTCATTCATTATCCAGCCAGGCTATTTTTTTTCCCCAGGGATTTCTGCATTGGATCACTGTCCTCATGGCCTCCAGCTCAAGAAGGGATTTTGTCGTGACAAGACAGTAGATTGTTACATGAATGAAAGGAAGTAAAAGATGCCTTCTCCTTGTATCTCCTCTTTAGAATAAGAAGGTCTACCTGGACATTATTCACACATACATGGAAGTGCATGCAACCGTCTACGGCTCCAGCACAAAGAATATCCCCAGTTACGTGAAAAATCACGGTATCCTCAGTGGCCGGGACCTGCAGTTTCTTCTCCGGGAAACCAAAGTAAGTAAGTTTTCAGACATTTTATCCAGAATCACTGGTGAGCTTATTTCTAGGCGTGTTTCTGTTCGTGTTGAGTTGGGGCAGACTCTTTCTGGCTTCCTTTTCATTGCTACAGTTTGCTTAGGCCCTTTCTGGGCAGTTGATTTTCTAGACCTGCGATAGTTTAAAAGTTAATGAATTTTGGCAAGAGGTGACTGCAGTATTGTTTATCTATTCAGTAATAAAATGTTGCCGAGGACTCTGCAGGGATAAAGCAAGACGCTGAGGATCCCCGAACAGGGAAGATAAGTCCCGCCCTGGAGGACAGCGCATGTGAGCATCTGAATGGGCAGCAGCTGGTAGTCAGCTGGCTGTTTAACTTACCCCTCCCTGTTGTTCAAGGAAGTGGTCCTCCTGCGTCCCTTCCTCACACCTCCTCAATTCAGCAGGGTATATTGGACACAGAAGAACTGCAGATAATGGGGGTGGGGGGAGGGGAAGGCTCAGAAAGCAGAGAAGACATCAAGAAAAATGCAGGAGGTATCAAATGGATGGGGGTTGGGGGGATCGGACACCGGAGAGAATCAGACGGTAGAATTGGGGGCACAGTTTAGGAAGAAGCTAGAAACCAAGCCACTTAGTCTGAATGTTGGGGAGAACAGTGGAAGATGATATTTGGTCAGGGAATGAGAGTCTAATTGTCAGAGATGTAAGTGGAGCCCAGGGGTAGGGAGCTGGGGGTATTTTACACGACAGTCTTGGGGCATGTGGTGCTTTGACACCATGGAGAGGTCCAGTCTGGTGGTTGCAGTTATTGCTCTGCATTGTTCTGTAATTGTTCTGATTGTTCTCTTGTTGTTAGTTGCTGTTAAGGTTCTTCGACTACCAGCAACCCCATGCATGGTCCTGAGGGTTTTCAGGCCTGGGACATCTCAAAAGCAGATGGCCTTGCTGTCTTCCAGGAATATATGGGGAGGCTGGAACCACTGGCCTTTCAGCTAGCTGTTGAGGGCGTGTGAGTGTGTGCCACTCAGGGACCTTAGTTCTAGTCTAGAAATGCTACAGGAAGTTAAGTGGCCTATGGTTAGGCCTAGGTTTGCATGGGAATGTATTAGAGAAATTCTTTCATGCTGAGTAATGAAATCTTATTTGTGAATTTGACAAATATTACCCAAACAGCTTCTTTGTTGCCAGACTTTGTGCAAGGGGTGTAAGAGCGAGGAGAAACCTCACCAAATACGTTCTGAAACACAAAGAAGCTTGTCAGTACTGACTCCTTCATCCTTGGTCCCTGACTGGCCAGGTGGCACTCATGGCAGCCTACAATTTCTAAACATTGTATGACCCGTGACTTTTAGAAATCATGTGACTTTTAGAAATCATATTCCCATATGTGATCTTTCTAGATTCTTAAAACCGGCTTAAGAGGTTGGGAAAGAAGGCAAGGAAAGCCTTGATATTAAGGTGGAAGAATCTACAGTTTGATTTGCCCACAGTCACAAAGGTCAAGCCAATCCTAGAGCTGGCCCCGACTCCCTGCTTTTTTTATTCCCAGTTACAAGGTTTCATCACAGCGCGAGCTGACGTCGAGTTGATTCTGATCCCATATATGTCACAGCAGAACTGTGCTCCACAGGGCTTTCAGGAACAGATTTTTCCCAGAAGGAGGTCACCGGGCCTTTCTTCCAAGGCACCTCTAGATAGACTTGAATTACCAACCTTTCAGTAATACCCAAACACTATAACCATTCATATCACCAGTGACTCCTGTCCTCCCCACACTATCCTTGCAAATGAAAACTCAACCTCAGGAACACTGTTTTTAATGGCTACATACAAGCTGAATGACTATGCACTTCTTTTCTCCCATCATTTCTAGATCCAACGCATGTACATGACATCAATATTTTACAAGCATCATTAAAATACAGGCAGAGTTGTTAGCTCTTGATCAAAGACCTTATTAACCATAATTAAGGTTTTATTTCCTTGTGAATATTTCTGTGGTCTGGGTAATCGTGTGTGGTGACCCTGGAATAAAGTTTTTCTGTCCTTTACCTTTCTGGTGAATGGTGGAAACGTTCACCATCTGTCTCTGGCGGGTTTTTTATTCTGGGATTCACAGTGTCAAGACCGTTGCGTGACAGTGCGTTCTGTTTGCCTAATTCCTCATTTTACTCTCCCCCGCTTGGAATTGTGGGAGTCATCGGGCACCTTCAAAATAGCATTTGGCAGAGCTGGTTATCAGCAGCACGTCATCACTGTCTCCCGCACTCGCCTAACCTTGTGAACGTCTTATTCAGCCTTGCGAATTTTAAAAGAACTCTTACACCCTATCTTCCACTGACCTTGTCAAAGAACAGGAACTGGGCCAGAGCTAATGTTGAGGAGGGGGTGAAGGAGGGACCCAAAGACGCAAGCCACCAAGTCAGTTCATCCTAAACCCAGGCTTGTTGCTTGAATTCCAAGTTCGAGGGGCATGACATTCATCCTTGAAAAGCCAGTGTGTTCAGTGGATGTCACTGATCCCATTAGTGTTGCCTGTTCAACTGACTAGAATATATTCAGATACTCTGAGCGGAATTATAGCTAAAACAGTTGGCAAATATGAAGAGAATGAGGCAGTGTATCACTAAGTCTCCCCTTCTGCCCAGAACACAGCAGCAGGCGCTAAAAGGAATGAATCTTGGGCTTTGAAATAATGATGCTAAACACCAGTAAGGCTTTGCATTCATAACCCTTTCTGCCTCTAACTCCGTCCTCTGTGTCTTGGAGCAATTTAAAAGCGATTTATTCTACCTCACACTGAAAGTGGCGGGTGGAAGTACAGGGAAGCCAGTGCCTGCAGAATGCTTGGGCTTCCCATCCTCCTTGGGCTCATTATGTGAGAGGCAGGCAAGTCCGTGGCTCCTCAAGAGGTTCAGAAACACGAGTGATTGATGCTTTATCAGCATCTGACTCATTATTTTTCTTTATGAGCCATCTTTGCATCTCCTCACCAAGTCCTGGAAAATCTCCGCTCAGCAGAATTATGCCCTGGCATCCGTCAGGGGCCCAGGCATCATTAGCTGGAAGGAGCCTGTGAATACAAGAGGAAATCAAAGCCGGTGTTCAGAGAGCTAGCGGGAGGGGAGGGTTGTCAAATCTAAAAGTCCCTTCTGGTCAGACTATGACGTGGGGTGAATTAAGTCCTTACCAGAGGTCCGTAAGTCTCCCTGTCCACTAACCCTCAAGAATGCAGTTTAAGGCCGAAATCAGGACTCACTGAGGTGACACTTTTTTTGTGAGGAATCCTCATGTCTTTTAAGATGATTTCTTTCTTCCCATTCCAGGTTTTAACCTCTTCATGCCCTAGTTTTTCCATGGGAAACTTACATTGCTTAGTTGTTGTGTCCCATCGCGTTGGAACCAACTCATAGCCGACCCTCCAGCAAGTTTTGCAAAGCAGTAAATTACGTGGTGAAAATTGCCCATCTTTCTCTCACAGAGAAGCTAGTGCATTTGAACCACATGCCTTTGGGTTGGCAGCACAGCTCCTTAAACACTGGAGTTCCCTAGAGCATCTGCCTCCTGCCCCCAGATAGAGACACATGGAGAGTGCACTGGGGTGGTCTGTGAGCTGGAGCAGCCACTTTTCCTCCATGCAGGGAAAGTAAAGGACTGCAGGAATCTAAGAGGGAGGGTACCACCACACATGCTGTCAGTGCACACCACTCCCACCTCGCCCTCTGCTTATCCTGTGCTCTACTACATTGGAACATCACGTTACCTGTGGGACTCACCTGAAAGGCAGCACAGGGTTGGCCAAAACACAGTATGTGCAGCCTCTAGTTCATTCCATCCCACCTTCATCCTAGACACCTGCCCCACCCCCCGGCCCCCCATTCAGCCAGAGTACTTTCCATTGTGGTTGTGGAATGGCTGGGATGGGCCTGCTGTGGAGGGCAGGAGTCACTAGCTAATCTTTGTGTAATCCATTTAATATGTTGTTGTGGTCCCCATTGCCATGAACATAACAACCATTTTCTCTAACACCACACAGTGTGCCAGGTCTTGTGCTAAAACCCTTCCTGTGGATTCTGTTTTTGATCCCAGAGTCATGTGAGCACAGACACGTTAGTGCACTGAGGGCTGTGAGTGGGCCGCCTGTGGTGCTGCCTCACTCTGGGAGCCCCAGAGTCTGAAGCTTTGGAATCTGGGTGACAGACAGATGACCACGACTGGCTCCTCCAAGCACAGGGTGCTTGAGCGGAATTTTACTAGTGAGTGTTTTATGCTGGCACAGCTGTAGTTAGTCCACATTTCCAATTTTCGGTTTACCCAGATTTTCTCCTCTCCTCTAATCCCTAAGTGAGTGAGTTTACAGTACTAGGTCTGCTCTGAAATATCTGAGGTGTGGGGGCTTTTGGTCTTGGAGTGTTGGGGGTTTTTTTTTTCGTTTCTGAGAAGGCACCTGAATGCCTGGGCACCGCCAGGGCGGGTGCTTCAGCTCACTGCACTCCAGGAAGCACTCTTGGGTGCAGCAGCCAGCCTCAGGGACTTTGGACACTTACGGCTGCCTGCTTGACAAATGTCCTTGTCTTTGTCTCCTGACTCCTTTATTTTCACAGGAGTCTCCCGAAGTGTGAACAAGGGACCCGTGGAGCCTGAACGGGGACACAGCCAACCCATTTGGGAGACCACTTGACCCCTGTCATTCCTTCCCATAGAATCAGGTGCATGAGGAGGTCTCCCAAGAGGAGCCCTCAGGCTGCCCGGAACAAAGGTCGGGAACAAACTGTTCTCCTTACACAGGTGCCCTATTAGTTCTTTTTAAAGATATGAAAGGAATACGCGTTACCACAAACCTGTAGGTTCCTGGTAATGATATGAGTAATATATTCTCAGTCACATTATGCGAGCAGGTATATTAGCAATGGCACATCCATCATGGGACTGGCCTTTCTGTGTGGTAGCCACAGTAAACTACATCCTCTCTCCTCTGACACGTGTCATTCCCTATCTTTAGAGTTCTGAGTCAA